AGTGATCTGGGGAACTTAGTGGGGGCCACGGTCATCCCCAAGCCTTTCTTTTCTCGCTGCCAACACTCTGGCGAGAGATGGCATGAAAGGCTGCTGCTGGATCGTGGCTGTACTGTGAAACGGAGCTCCACGCAACCTGCCCCGCGAGAAAGGTGTGTGCCATGTGTTGATGTGTCGAGAGAGGTGTGTGCCACGTGTTGATGTGTCTCGGAACCGCAGGATTACAGGTATTTCAGTCGGCATTGGAGTCAGTTTCCTGTCACTGTTATTAATTGTGATGGCGGCATACCTGCCATTTACACAGCAAAGATACCCCAGTATTCTTGGGACCTAGGTATTTGCGCTTGTTGGTATGCATTGATGGGTTGCATCATTTCGCGGCGCACTTAGAACTTGCGGCAAATAATCACTCCTTTAGAATAAGACCTTTTTGTGGAAAACAAGCTCGTAGACCACGTGGCAGCTAGAAGCGTGTTACACTTTTCGACAAGCCGAATGTCCGCGATATTTTAATTCAGGTTGAAACATTTGCTGCTGTTGGAACGGTTACTTGGTACGTGTTTACACAAATTTGCCACGCGGAAAGAGAGAGATAGAGGAGAGAAGGGAGAGCGCAGAGAAGAGAGTGAGCGAGTAGGGTGGGGGATGAGAAGAGAGAGAGAGATAGAGAGATGAGATAGAGAGTAGAGGCGCGATAGATTGAGAGAGAGAGAGAGAGAGAGAGAGAGAGAGAGAGAGAGAAGAGATGGTACATTATAAAAACACGGTTTCAAGTATCAACTCATATAGCATGCAGGTAAGTATTGCATGTAAGCACAGAGTAACCTTTTAACATTCATTGAAGGTCTTTACGAATGCGATGGTGAGTGTGGTGGAGGGCTTACCCCCCCCCCCCTCCCCCCAACTAGATGCAATGATGTTCATGTTTATGAGAGTTGTGATATATGGTGCGCTTGATTTCGCAGTCCTGCGCCTCAGCACTGTCTGCAGCGTGCCACTATATCGAGTGTTTCGTCCTGAGATCGCCTCTCTTACTGGTGGGAGCATGTCTCTGTGTCCTGTAGATTTGCTGTCCCAACCGTAAGCACAGCGTTTCCCTCCTGTCTGCAAATGTTTCCATTTTCAGCATCGGTTGAAGCCGTGGATAACTTGTCATGCCCGGCAATGATTTTGAGAGCCCGCTTCTGTACTCGCTCAATTTGTTTGGTGCTTGGTGACCGGTGACTCCATGATGAAAAACAGTCGCAGAGTATTCAGGCAGTGGTCGAGCATATGTGATGTAAATTTATTCTCAACCACCCCAACAGCCTTGTCAATATCTTGCATGTATCTTGCATGTCGGTGACATCTTGCCAGCCCTGGGAACAAGTGAATCCACAAAAATGTCTGATAGACGAACCCGTAAGTGGCCTTACGGAACGAATTTGGCCGGTCTCGTTTTTCTGGTCACAATTGATGCACACCACATTGTTGTGATCTGCTCTTCCAAGTGCCGGGAGACTTAATGATTTGTTTGGAGAAGCAATATCAGTTAATATTTTATTAAGAATCACTGATCCTCTGGTGGGCTCAGTCACTACTTGTCGGAGGTTAAGCTGTCGAAACAGTGCATCCGCATCAAATGCGCTGTTGGAGTCCCCAAGAAGGACAGTCCCTGCTCTTGGCCGTGAAGATCTAAAAAGTCAGCACTTTCTAGAAGATGGTCAGCTAGTGCTTGTCGATGAACTGCATCAGGCGGAGAGTACACCTCAGCTAGCATTATGCTGCCTACTTGAGACGGTCGAAGGATGTTCCAGCAAAATCCCAGGAACTAAGAGAGCTAGAGATATTGAATTCACAGGGCGTGTTGATCTGTGTGTGAGCTCACTTGAGTCAAAGTTGGAGGCTCCTAGGTCATGACCCTTGGGTCAAATAAGGTCAAACAAGATCAAATTCTGGCTCGGTCTCTAAAGAACCCCTAAAACCTAGATGACTGTTCCAATCAAAAGGTCACACGCTCATTTAAGGTCAGTGATCTTGCTTGATCTTTTGAAGGTCATGGTGACCAAAATCATACCAGAGTGCTTCGAATTTTACATTTGAATAAGCGACACAGATTACGCTAGGAAGTATGTTTCTAAAAGAAAACGTTCATCTGGTTTATTTCAGGTCAGTGACCTATTCCGACCTTAAATAAGTCCGTAGAATGTGTATAATGCAGTTCCTATCATCAACGAATTTGAAATGGGCACCAGCACTTACCCCATACAACAAGCCCTAGCCAACAAAGGATGGTTTTGACCTTGAAATGGCTTTTATAGCTGACCCTATGTCAACTTAGTTCGCTCGTTCAATTGTTGTGTTGCCTAAGACAGTATGTCAGAGATGTATGGCTTCGTCTAACACTCCGTTGTTGGATCAGATTGAACGATCTCCTAGAAATTGCATTTGCTGAAGCCATGGCCTGACTGACCTGCCATAGATCGCGACTTTACAAGGTACATTAGAATGTTTGATGTCAGACAACCCGCTATTCAATCGTTTACAATTATGCAAAATGTTGCGCGGCTGCGCCACGGTGTTCAGAAAACACTCCAAAAAACCTTCGAAGGGGGGGGGGGCGGGGCAATTTGACCAACCACCCAAGCGCGTGTTAAAAATCGAGCTCAACAGTTAACCGAAAATTGCCTCAGATGTTGGACTACATCACACAGCCAGGTAATTTTCGGTTGCAGTGTTCAATAAGTAAGGTTAATTTAGGAACAGCTTTACCAATCGAAGAGGGGTCTTCCCAAATTGTCGTCTGATAATGTTGTGAGTTTCGGTATAAAAACTGCATGCAAGTTGCCACTAATGCTCCTGTCTTGCATTGGACCAAAATAACAGGATTAAGCAACTCTCAGATTGTTTCTGGCATCCCTTGCAGGCTTGGAATGACGTAAGATAAATTGCCAGCAATAATCGCATAGTTTTGCAAACCTATGTCCCTGTTGATTGGGGGAGGGTGGCTGAGCAATGAAAACACAACGACCTACTACCAGGCATGCCAACAAATTGGTTACTCCCTCAATTTGGCCTGGCTTGTTCTCAAAGTTTGGGAGAGGGTAGCTGGCGCCCGAGATGGCGGCAGAGGTCCCTGCCAACTGAAAAGGAAATTATTCACCTGGCTTGCAATTAGACCAATCATTTAATTCCTGCTGTTAGCTGTGCGAATTTAGCAAAGGTGGGTGTGATGAACCCCTTTCCGAGGTTTATCAAGTGGTGCTGAACCAATGACGCGGGACTGCCGGTCGTATTCAACACTACTCAAACCAAGATCACATTAGATCAAGTCTATTTTAGATGATAGCGTGTTTAAGAATTACATGTTTAAATGAGACTGATATATTTTGCGCTGAACTGAATCCAGTTGTTGGAACAGCTACATGCAAACCAAGAACCATAAAAGATGCTCGAATATGGCATAATCACAAGCACAAGTACGGATCATGCGTGTCGATAGCATCCCCAACTCATCGAGCTATATTGCGTTTCTCATTTCCCCCGACGTAGTTCAATTTACACTCCATTACCTTAGCAGAGGCGATGTCAGTGCAGATCATATGTCAACTTCTGCAAACCAAACCCGGTCACGACTAGACCCGATAACAACGTCACAGAGCATCGCAGACAAACACTACTGCCGTTAGTCAGGGTTGGCGAAAATCGGCTGCAGAATCTGATCTGCGCATCCACACGACTGTGCAGTCACCGGTGATGACTGAGCCAAGCCCCTTCGCTCCGGCGTTCAGCTATGAGCGCCGACGCGACTGTGAAGCGAATTCATATGTCATTTATATATATATATATATATATATATATGTAATTTATATGATAATTCAAATGTGCCCGGGCCTCGTTTTGGGCTCCTCGGAACCACAGGCTCAGGACAAATGGCCCGTTAGGCTTTCTGGGGTCTAGCCATGGGATTGTGCATTTGGTACAGCGCAGAATCTGTGCAAGTAGTAAGGGCTAGAGTGCCCAGTAGCCAGTTTCTGAAAACATTAAATCGTAGACTTTTGACGCAAATTGTACATTTTTGAGGTGCAATCATGTGGTCCAGTTTCTTAAAGCAAACACGTACGATTTACAACTACAATCTAAGACACTCCAACATATACAGCAAATGCACAATCTATGACGGAAATATACGCAAACTATCTGGCCTGAGTTTAGCAAAACCAAGAACTAATACAAGACAGAGCTTAACTTTGGTGAATCCTTAATAAATTTGACAATGCAATCAGTGTGAGCATTTGTGTCGTAGATTACAATACTGATCTTATGATTGTTACTTATCAGAAGACAAACTGTTGAAGTGACAAGCATAAACAGCACGCAACAGCTACAAGGGGCATAAAAGAACATGGCAGTAAAGTGTGAGCAAGTAATAAGGATTATTCCAGTCTATCAGGCCAGAAGCCTTGGGTGATGCATGCCATGAGCAAAAGATAAGGTAAAACTACCTGGTCAAGACGCTTCCTTTGCAAAAACATCAAAATACATCCCAGTTGGGAGAAATTTGTGTGGCTATCACAATGCATGATGCATGATGATGCACAATGCTATCAACTTGCATTCCACATACTTTGATACTTTCGAAGTGAGATATGGGCAGTGTCATTGCCTGCATTGCGTACTCTGGGTGGAAACCTCTAGACAGTGTACTTGTTATTCACATTATCTCATTCGCAATCGCCATGCAAAATAAAGCCGACATGGTTGGGACATTTTAGGATGAAACTGAGCACTGAAGAAGCTAATGAAAGAAGTATAGCTTCCCTCAGCGGATTCATCAATTATGGACAACATTGCCACCAAAATCACCCCCAGTTCCGCACGAATCTGCAAAAGGTCACATACATCTACGACACGTATTGTTCCGTTTATTGCGTAGCAATAGACTTGCAAACACAGCACGTCGATTGCACGCAAAAAACACGCAGCGGTCGACGCAACCAAATGGTGTAGCTCAGAGGTGGGCGCACACCATCATGGGCGAGTCGACGGGCAATGGCAATGGCGTCACACAAATTCCTTGCGCCTAGGGTACTGTCTCCACTCACCTCCCCCCCCCCTCTCTCTCCCTCTCTCCCTTTCTCTCTCTCTCTCTCTCTCTCTCTCTCTCTCCTCTCTCTCTCTCTCTCTCTCTCTCTCTCTCTCTCTCTCTCTCTCTCTCTCTCTCTCTCTCTCTCTCTCTCTCTCTCTCTCTCTCTCTCTCTCTCTCTCTCTCTCTCTCTCTCTCTCTCTCTCTCTCTCTCTCTCTCTCTCTCTCTCTCTCTCTCTCTCTCTCTCTCTCTCTCTCTCTCTCTCTCTCTCTCTCTCTCTCTCTCTCTCTCTCTCTCTCTCTCTCTCTCTCCTCTCTCTTTCTCTCCCTCTCTCTTTCTCTCTTTCTCTCTTTCTCTCTTTCTCTCTCTCTCTCTCTCTCTCTATGGCGTTCGTGAACACCGCCAACCGCACTCTTCCTTTTTTCACTGTCGTCATTGGGGGTTTAGGACGGACTCAGCTGCTAAAGCTATACGGCGTCAACTGCCTCTCACCCTGGCGGAAACGCGGGCATCGCCGGTAATCCAACCCAGTACTCAGACACGTTAACCACTGCACCATCGGCACCTGTCCCCTTGCTTTCATATCCTGAAAAGCGTTGCATTTTAACCAAAGCGTCGTAATTGTAGTTGGAGACAATTATCTCCAAGATCGTAAGCTAATGTGGCGGGTTTGCTGTCGAGCCAGACAAGTGAAAACTCATGCATTATTTCGTCTTAATCGATGGCACTCCGGGTTAAGGTATCACATACTCAAAACATATGACATCTGAATATTATTATTATAGATAAGACAGTAGTAATAGCGATATTCCTCGTGGAGATATAGGTGGGTTGATGTTCCGGCAACATGCCGTTATCGAAACAATAGTAGAAGTTAATTGAGATTCCAGAACATGACATATTCGTATAACATATTCAATTCTCTTCTATTGTTTCAATAAAGGCATGTTGCCGAAATATCAACCCAACTATATCTCCATCCTCCTGTTATTTCTCCGAGAATAAAGCTATTACTACTGTCTTTTCTAGAGGTCAGAATTATGAAAAGTTCGGTGGGCGTTGTCCTGGCAGCGGGACGTACAAATCTACGTCACTGGCAAACATACAAACTACGACAAAGGTCACATGACGGCTTTGAGAAACTGTCTTAATGTGTGGTTTGTAAAATCGAAACGACACATTAATACCTAGCGTAAGACTGTGATTTTGCATTGAAAAAACTAGCTACAGATGGCCGTGATGGTACGGATGGTACAGATGGTACAGGCTCTGGCACTCAGGTGGGCCGCTGAGTGGCTAGCGTGAGCCAACTCTCAATACACAGACGAGCAGTTAGGTGACCAGAATAACCCCGGAACAATCAGAGGTTCCCATTGTTGACACGAGGGGCTTTGGCGGGCAGCGAAGCCCCTGAGCAGTCAGACAGTGCGCCACTGCCCAGGGGCTTCTCAATAGCCAAGGGGAGCCCTCAACGGCCTGAAAGACCCTGAGCACATAAACAGAAGTGCACAAAGTCATTGAATTCTCCACTACATAATACACACGAATAACCATCTATCTTATGACAGTTTGAGCCATGCAAAGTGGTATCGAAATGACAATCACTTGCCTTTATGGTCTCCACTCTTTTGTCATCATTTTAAAAACAACAGTGAACAGCAAGGTTGTGCATTTTAGTGGTCCAGTCATCTAAATGCCAAAGATGAGTACAAAAACTGAATATAGTAGACACGTTATCTTTGAGACATTAGCACCAGTACTGCCGTAACAGCTTGTATATGCACATCCATCCATCTGTATAGCTTTTCTCAATGCAATTCATGACCAAAATGGCACTTACAAAATGGGCAAAATGGCATTTACACGACAGAAGAAATTGATGCATGGTAAGCACGGAGCTCTATCTTCTAAACCTATGATACATTCTGAACTATACATGTTATTGAAAATGCGAGCTGGCCCCCTTCAAGCATAACATACATAACGGAGCTGATTAGAACCATGCACCTCATATGTCGATGGTACAGGAAGGCAGGTCTGTGAACCACTTCAAAATGGCTATTTCAGTTCAAAACTCCATACAAATGAAGAACACTCCCTTTTATATATTTTTGAGCATACACCTTATTTTTGTGATTGTTTATATTTCAAGTGATGATCTGCAAGTCCCACATATCCATCTAAGTTTCGCTGCGTTCACCAGAATATCACGGAGCTCTAACCACCCTGGCACTGTCACACTGAACGTTACGGTATAACCCTTTGATGTGCTCGTTTCAGGGAGATGCGCAAAAGGTTCCAGTTTCTTCTTCTGCTTGGTGGTTGTATTGGTGTCCTGGTCTTCTACGCAAAGATATGGCCAGCATATTTTGGAACATTAAAAACGGTAAGACATCTTTGAAAACAACGTTTTAGTAAGCTATCCTCATGGTGCTTGTCCGTTCATGATGCATTCCTCATAGCTTCACAGCGGAGATAATTGAAACGTTTGCCCTCTTTTAGCACCAGGACACAGGAATAAAGTTGAAAAGATGAAAATGGCACGTGGATAGCCACGTCTCAGAGGATAAAAATCGTGTGCACTGCGATGCAGCTGAAGTCATCAGTGAACAGATCATCCGCTACAGGCTTGTAGGGACGCTTGGTGCACTGCGCGCCCGTGCATCCCATGGGGTCTGCGGTGCCTCCTCCATCCCCGTTCTCCCAAACCTGGTACTTGAGGTTTCAGGAAGATTGGACAGAAATTTTCCTTGTGTTAAGATCTGACACATTTGGAACGGGAGGAAGTTGCAGTCGGCACTTGGCTCATGCCAAGTGTGTTTCCAGTTTCGAACTATGTGTATTCTGTTCCACTTGCGTTTTGAGTGATTATCGATGCCTTACGTCGACAGGGTATCCTTCTCACCTTTCCATCACCTTCCCACCTTTTGGTATCATTGCATGCATTTCAGGAGGTAGTACAGATACTGATTGATGCACTCTTCCAATTCCCTACACTACACGGATCTGAGCAATCTTAGGTTACGTTGCGTTTCTGCTTCATGACATGTGATGATGTTCTGTTTGATACTACCTGACACCTTTTTCGCATTCAGGTTGTCCAACACACGCTCTTCCAGTCGTTAAAACGTCCTTCAGACATCACCAGTGGATAGCCTGCTGGTTGACACGGGCGTGCCCTGGCTCCCCCACAGACGCAAATTAAAGCTCCTCCGTTATAACACCCGCGTCTCCTTTTACCCCAACCACTCATCTCATGTCGTACTACAAAACTTGCCAGCCACCTGAAATTCTGTAAATACGCAAAACAAATACTCCGCCATCAAGTGCCGGCATTCAAAGTGCATGAAAGATCCTCTACCCCGCCTCCCCCCCCCCCCCCCCTCCATCACTGTTCTTCCGACGTCATGGCTTCAACTTGTATGGAGCCATCGCAACATCCCCATAAAATGCATTCTGTCAGCTAAACAACATTTCACCGAATGAGACATTACCTTGCGCTTTAATCACTTTCACCCCGAATACCTGCATTATTTGTTTCACTACACCGACGGCTCCAGACGAGACGGACGCACTGGAGTCACTTCTACTACACTGACGGCTGGAGACGAGGCGGACGCCCTGAAGTCACTTCTACTACACTGACGGCTGTAGACGAGACGGACGCCCTGAAGTCACTTCTACTACACTGACGGCTGTAGACGAGACGGACGCCCCGAAGTCACTTCTACTGCACTGACGGCTGTAGACGAGACGGACGCCCTGAAGTCACTTCTACTACACTGACGGCTGTAGACGAGACGGACGCACTGAAGTGTGCTGAGTCAGCAACATTGTCGGGGGTACGACGTTGTCACGTCTCGAGGCACGAGACATAACTGTGTCTGTTCCGATAGATCAGTTGGATAGAGCGCCGTCCTTCTGATCTACCTTCCCGTGCAAGGGTAGATCAGTGTGTGCTCATATGCCATAAGCGTTGGGCGCTCAACGCAATTTATTGGAATTGATACCGTTGACAAATATGAAGCGATCTAAAACCTCCTTCCCATGTTACTGCAGGCCTTGACCATACTTATCTCTGCCAGTGGACCGGACGAGAACAACGTTGGGATAGTGACATCCGACCGAAAACGAAAAATATATAATCGATAAGACAGTAGGAAAAGACTTATTGCTCGGAGAAAAACCAACAGAATGGGGATAAGATGCGTTGATATTGCGGCAACATGCCTTTCTCGAAATAAATGGAAGAAGATAATCCAAAATTGCCTGCCGATGATCCTCTATTTTCAGTTTTTTTCGAACAATGATCCTCAGTTTTTACAGTACGCCAGCATTCAGGAGATTAAACAAGAAGCGATTGCTTGTCATTACTACGGTGTAGTGCATATCTAAGAATTGGAATGCGCGAAAAATACTTATACACGCAAAAGAATTCAAATAAACAGACATCCCTAGTCACGTTTCGTTCAAACCTGCAAGCGATTTGAAGGAAACAGGCAGTTCACATCACACATCAACTATACAAGCAAGCGATTCCAATTAACCAGACATCGCGCATCACGCGTCGTGCGTCCCTTATACATGTACACAATTGAAAGTTAGCGCACGTCACACATCAAGGCACATGTTACGATCGCATGATGGGGCACGATCATCCCTGTGCGTGAAGGCTTAGTCGCTGGCTTTTTATAAGAACAAATTCACTTATTTTCCTGTCTGGGAAGTCCTGTACTCTGAAGATGACTTTGAGCTCTAAAAGGGGAACATGGTTCACACCTTCCTGGGTTTCAGCCTGAGCGTATTTTGCTGAAAAAGTGTCACCGAAAGGGGCATTCCTTTCCTGTTTTTTTTAGCGTCATGCAGGCGCTCAGTACATCTCAAACGAATAGGGCGCATGGACTGCCCGACATAGACTATGTCCCTCCCGTGCTTTTCACACAGCCTGCACCTAATTTCGTAAACCACATTTCTTTGCGTGCAAAAATTGCTTGGGCACTTAGGCTTCGAGATATACCCTGATCTTCTAACTCGCAGCCCAAGAGCCCGGGTGGCAATATATGACATTTATGCAACTCCGGGTTTCAAGGGTTTAACACGCAAATAAATTTGGTGCACGAAATTAAAAGTGAGCTGTGCGAAAAATATGGGAGGGACATAGTCAATGTCGGGCAGTCCATGCGCCCGTTCGTTTGAGATGTAGTAAACGCCTGCGAGACGCTAAAAACAGAAAAGGGGATACCCTTTCGGTGACACATTTTTTTGGCAAAACACGCTCAGGCTGAAATCCAGGAAGGCATGGAGCGTCTGCCTCTTCTAGAACCCAAAGTCATCTACAGAGCACAAGACCACCCAGACAGAAAAAGAAGCGAACTTGTTCTTAGAAAAAGCTGGCGACGAAACCTTAACATACAGGGCTTATCATGGCCGATAGTGCGAACGTGGCCTGTGCCTTAATGTGTGATATGTGCTAGCCTTAAATTGGTTACATGTGTAAGGGATGCATGACGCGTGATGCGCGATGCCTGTTTGATTGGAATCGTTTGCATGCATAATTGATTCGTGATGTAAGATGTCTTCTTATTTCAAATCGCTTGCTTGTTTAAATAAAGCGTGTTGGGTGATGCCTGTTTATTTGAATTCGTTTGCATGCACATGTGTTTTTCGGGCATTCTAATTCTTGGTTACATATGCATTGTATCGTAGTAGCCATAACTGGAATTTTTTTCTCGTTTAATCACCTTAACGTTGATGTCCTGCAAAAACCGTTGCTCGCTGTTTATTGGAGAACAAAAACTAAAAAAACGAGGGGAATCGTCGGCAGGAAATTTTGAATTCACTTTTCTATTCTTTCCGATAAAGGCATGTTGCCGACATATTGAATACATATTCCCATCCTGCTGTTTTTTTTTTTGTCTGATGATAAGGCTTTTACTATTGTCGTGTTACTGTCCGTGTGTAAATAATGCTCCTCGTAAAATCACGTGAGAACTTTCGTAGATATAATCAAAATTAGATGTTATCGGCATGGCTTATAGACAATTTTGATAAATGTGCTAAAAATCTTGATGCTGCGTTTAGTTCCTTATCCGATGAGAACCTGTGGAAGGGAGGTGACACGCATTAACTATATTTGTCTTCTTTCAGGTACCACCGAGAGCACCAACGATATCCGCAAATGTCGAAACCACAGAACCGCTCATTCCAGTTAAGAAGACATTTGACAATTCAGATTACCAGCAGCAAGTTATCATTGGTCAAAGAGACATGATAGCCCAAGAGCTAGCAAATTACCCATTCCAGAACAGCAGGTAGGCTTTTTCACTATAAGTTAGTGGTATTCAGCAACCTGCAAATCATTGCGGACGTATTTGTCCCGCCTTGCCCTGCGCTGGAAGCAACGAACTGATCTTGTGTATTTTAAAATGGTTGCTGGCCCTGGATATTAAGCTTAAGAAGATGCACCATTTTTTAATATACTTATATGGTGATGCCCGGATAGAGCTGACCTTAGAATAAAGTTTGCTTCCTCTGGAAAATGATACATCCTGTGAGTGTAGTTGCGGGTGGTTTGTTAGAATTTGTGTGGTCACGCACTGTATCTGTGATAGATACCCGATACTCCTGCAATTTTTGTCATTCCATGTCAGATATATGACAAAGCCAGTCAGCAACGGTGAGAGGCATGCGTTACTCACCATCCTGATTCGCCGTATCAGGTAACGCGAGCTGATGGGGGGGGGGGGGGCGTTTTTAAACTAAAGAAGATAACGCATTTTCGAAAACATCGGTTAATTGTTCGTAACGAGACTTCGCTATTGGCACTCTCTGAATATCAAGCTATTCAACTTAATAGTTACCAAACCATTCCACGCATGAACATGAAACTTCTACAAACGTATGACGTAAAAACGTACTTCTGCTTCTGCATATATACAGCGTTGTGATGTGACATGCAGTGCTTTAGCATATGATTATGGTAAACCTGTAACGTACCAGTTTTCCGCCCCGCGCGATCGGCCGAACTGCCTGTTGCCGTCCATCTCCCAGCGCCGGTGGTGGATCGCTACCCAGTCTTCATGATAAAATCGGCACTTTTCAGACAACACAACTGCCGGAAATGCGTTTTTGTGGTCAGAACACGCGCAATGAATGGTCCAGAGGGGAGCAAAATTTCAGCTAATCGCATGACATGACGGAGAGATGTGTTCAGAAAACTTTACGAGATCGCATCAACCCTCGTGTCAAGGTAATGGTGAAAGGGCATGAAAAGGAAGAACAGCGATACGTTTCTTAAAGCAATCCTCGGGCTTGGATGCTAAGCTCAATTCACGCTGTTGTACCACAGTCTATTTTCTATGGCAAATTCTGCATTCGTCGGCTGTTACAGACAGACCACGGATGACATCGCGCTTCACGAAGTGATGTCACCTGCGCTACCTCAAACAGCTGACCAGAAGGTTGTCTGGCTTATTTCTGCTGAGTTTTTGACATTAAACACGGTAGCCTCTTGACTTAAGGGTTTCATGGCCGCAGCTCCGTATCCAGGCATCTCGACTGCGCACATAACATCTTATAGGCCCTCCGTAACTTGCTGCCTCTGATCCCAGACATGGCAGTTCGTCTTCCCACGCTTGCCTGAAGCCCAGTTTTCATGATTGGATATATCAGCTTCAACAAATAAAATCTGTCTAATATGTCTTTACGCCACCACGGACACGTGCTTGCGTGCTTCCACCATTATCGAAACACAGGCAAGCATGGCGTGCGGCAAGAAACCGCATCAAAATCGTCACCATCCACAAGTCAGTAGTCCGTCTCCAAGGTACACTGTACCGTAGAGCACTGGCGCCGCCCCAATGCTATTGACTTCGTTTGGGCGTACAATTCCTGTGGTATTGCTATGGGTTCGTTGTATAATTGGAGGTGGCACGTGAAACACCGCAATATTGTTTTCGCCCAAGATCACAAAGCATCATTCAGGGCTGCCTGACCGCATAGCCTTTCAGTAATCGGAATTATCGTTGGCTGTAGCAGCCTATTTTCAAGATGCCTGGAGCAAAGTCTGTTGCAGGCGAATTGAGGGAAATCAAAACCAGTAGGACCACGTGCGTCGATTTGTATTCTTTTGTGAGGGCCCTGCGCTTACCTCTCAATGCTGAGTTTGACCCTCCCCCTCCCTCCAATGTTGGCTTTGTCCCCCCCCCCCAGTGTTTTTGACGAGTGCTGCACAAAGCGTAGGTAAAAGATGACCACAACAAAAGATTACCTTCTTTGATCTTTCTGCGTAATGGCGTCTCGTAGTATTCTGATAACGTAAAGCCATGGCAGCTCTCACCACCACATACAAATCGTAACAGGTGAGCGGCTAAACGATGCAATAAACCTCACATACCTAAGGTCATGAGACACGCGTTGATTTGTAAGGTTAAAGTGAAAACTTCTGGAGTATGGGATGACCCAAGTCCTTCATGGCTAACCCCGTTCTCGTCCCTCACAACCAAAATGCGTGCCGCCTCCTGTGACCGCCATAGAAGAGCGCCATCGGCGCCCTAAGGTGGCCTCTTAATTGCCGATGGGAAGAGACGCGTGCGCCTGGTGCCTGCCCCTTAGATCCACCCCTGAACGACTTTGGTACTGCTTAAACTAAATAACTTTTTCAAATTATACAAAGAATAAAAGCACGTATTGCCTTTAATCACATACAGCAGGCTAAATCCGATGAGAAAAAATGGGGCAGTAGCTTGCAGGACCCACGGTTCGCCCCCTACCCAATAAATACAGAACTTACAGAAATTAACAACCCAGAGTTAGACACTATGGGTAATAAGGAAGAAGTGACGTGTAATTTCGTGTGATGTCACAGTTGAAGCCCTGGTCTGCGACAGTCGACCGATTGCAGAAGATGGCGAAGAAAACGAGTCAAATACAATGATGTCAACGGAGAGGGCGATACGACTTCAATGATGTAATAAAGCATTGACGCTCTAATGTTTGGCATTGTGTTATAAGTACCCAATTTTCGTGAACACGAGAAGACCATTCGGACGTGACATGGTTTCAGGAATGCTTCCAAAATTATTTTCGCTAAGGCCGGTTAGATGAGCAAGACGATCCATGATTTGAATTTAGAGCTTCAGTCAAAATTTGAATGAACAACCAAAGCCCGCTGGCCCTCCAACCGCTATGGACTTCGTCAATCGCTGACGCTGCTAATTAGTTGCGACTTCACGCGCTGCAAGCAGCCAAAGTGTTTTGTGTCCTGCATTTGCTGCTTCACCGCATGGTATTTCCAAGACAGAGCATGATGAGATTTCGCTCTGTTCCGATAAATTGAGGAAACGCAAACAAATACAGGGGCTGGTGCTGTCAGTGTGGTCATACTTTAAACCGGACGTAGATTTGCAACTATAGAGCCCATTTAAACTGGGTAAAATTGTTCCGTTAAATGTGCTCTCCTAATACTAATTCAACCATTACTGCATGTGCGTGCGAAAACAAGTTTAATAGTGACGTCACCCTATTCAACTGGTGCGACCGTGACTGTTGTATGATGTGCAGCTGGCACCGTGCTGTTGAATATCTTAGGACAGAAATTTGGTCATTTCCCGTCCACTCTGAAAAAACAATGCTCATAGACGTAAGATGTTTACCCGCACTTTGTCCGCAGTGGAATATACCGCAGTGTCCACAGTCAAATATGGAGCAAGATAAAGCAGTACTGATATGTAATTATGTGACAGTTCTATGATCAGTGACGGCCCGCATGACATACATGAGATCGGTGACGCATGTGACAGTTTCAGGCTCGACCGTCTGCGTGACATGTAAGAGACTGGTGACGCATGTGACAGTTTCAGGCTCGACCGTCTGCGTGTCATGCAAGAGACTGGTGACGCATATGGCAGTTTCAGGCTCGGCCGTCTGCGTGACATGTAAGAGACTGGTGACGCGTGTGGCAGTTTCAGGCTCGACCATCTGCGTGTCATGTAAGAGACTGGTGACGCGTGTGGCAGTTTCAGGCTCGACCGTCTGCTGACCAACGCCGGAGGAGCGCCGATTCGCTATATGATAGTCACTACGTGGCGATCAGGATCAACGTTCCTAGGTAGGATCTTGCTGTGTCGATCCTGATAAGGATCATAAACGTTATTTATTTGGCACATAGACAAAAGCACATCCCTGGGCATTTTGTCAAGTGGCAATGGAACTGGAGTTGGTGGTAAAAGCCGTAGTGGCCAACGGGGCCTGAGGAGCAAATGCTCGTCGACCAGTTATCATCTGCGGAGTACCGGAGCACGTTCCGTTCAATTAATTCCGAACTTCTTCATCGAATGTGTTTTGGGAAACTGAGCCCACGCTAACCAATGCTTCTACTACTAACTCAGTGCCATTCAATCGAGTACGTCACGTGGCGCGGTGTATATGTGACATGTCATTGAACAAGATCTACGTGAGTTTCATTTATCGTTTCACCTCCAAAAATACTGTTTGCGGCCTCCGTGGTCTGGGCTAGAGACGCTACACTGGATATGAGTCCCGGCGCATTATTTGGGCCGACTAGCATGGAACGGTAACAGCTGGCAGCTGACCAATGAAAGTCAACCAACAGCCAGGAGCGGTCACGTAGCAGCATTGCACAACTCGTAATTCCCTCGCAGTCCCGTCTGGCGAAAGAACGGATGCAAAGCTGTGCTGAACTGGATGGCATAACTTGCACGGTGGGTTCAGAGACCATGCAACAATCTGCACTTAACAGCCGCTCCGTGACGCAAAACCATTTAAGCAACTTTTTGGAATATATTTCATGACCTGAAAATGCTTATCCACCTAATCCCCCGGCCCAAGCCAGCCCCACTGGCAATAAGGCACTAAGCCAACTGTCATGCCAGCAATAATGAAAAAATCGCACTCATGAAAATCTTAAGCTGTTTTTCTGCCTGGGTAAATGACCAACAGGGGGAGGGGGAGGGGGGGGGGGGGCATGACCGGCGGCTGTTCGCACGGTGCCACATGTACTCTAGGCAACAGAATGGTGTTGGTTTCAGCTGATGTGCTGAACAGTCACCCGGCAATGTTTTATCACTACGAACCGCTGATGGATTTCGGAATTCGGCGAGTCCGACATGGCGCATTGGCGGACAAGGCAGTCACCAACATCCAGAGATTGATGTCGTGCGACTACAGCGAGATGGGTGAGTCTCACTTGATCGGCCCAGACGTTCAAACTCAAGCGGTCTGCGTGCATACGCTGATTTTTAGAAACTGAAATACACCACGTAAAATACAGTCAGCCTGCTGTATAACTTTGCATGCGGCAACGTCCCTTTCCACGAAAAAAATATCGCTATTTCTCGAAGCCATGGCGGAAATGATTGATTTAAAGAGAATAATTCGCTTGCCACGGCCTTGTATAAGTTTATAGATGCTAAACTTTCTTTGAAGAATGGTGTAATGAGTAAGAAGTGCATTAACCAGCAGACTAGCATGCCGTTTGTAACACACCGTGATGTTGGCGATGCAGTCAGACAAATATTGTGCATAGTCATATTTCCAACGTTATCAAGAGGGTGTAGTTATTGCACTTTTGCGTCAACGTTCCATAGTAGGAACTTTCTTAAGGTATGCAGTTTGAGTTATGCCTTTGTAATTGATTTTTTGAAGCTCTCCAGCCGGCTAGGATTGCATATTTGAGCCTCAGGTATCTTATTGGGTAGCGCAATGAAATCAGAATCGCGTTATCGTGTCGTGAGTGCGACAAAAGCTAGCTTCATGCGCTCCGCTTTTGATTCATAGCTCCTTCGAAGCATAGTCATTGCAAGAATGCCGAGTTTAGATAACGCCGTATATTTGTGCGTGTGGCAGAACCTTCTAACAGCTCGTAACTAACCGGCACTGAAGTGTTTTTCCATGCGAAGCCATGAGGTGAACGTTCATATTTCCGAAGTTACGAAGCTTGCAAAACTTTTCGCCCCTCCTCCCAGCCCGGTGCCACCGCAACATCCAGTATACACAGTACAGTGAACAGTGCCCAGAACGCAGCAACAGCAACTCAACTTTTTGTTCACTGGCAGGTGCAGTGGCACTGCATGACCAACCTTAAAGTCAATTGATGTTACCTGACTACATTAGACCGTGCTGCACAATGCTGTCTAAAACCAAGCCTGTGAGTGCTTTCTCCGCCCGTCACCGCACCTGCCGCGGCTCCAAACGCTGTTCTGCTAGCTGGCAGCGCTGCTCCCAATGCTTGCTGTTGCGTGACAGCAGTGTTATTCTTCATGTAGGCGACTGCATTGAAGATGTCTACCGTGACGCCAATGTCTTTCACAGAGCGGAAACGTCGACCGACTTATTGCGCGTCTGTGTCGTCACGTCCGTGCCGTCGCGTCTGTGACGTCACGCCTGTGACTGCGCCGCAATTGTGGCTCTATCATCTCTTCCTCTGTCAACAGGCGACTACATCGCCTACAGTCGCACACACCACTACGTGCAGGAGCACAACTGGCGCCTGTGGCGGTACTGTGGCGCCGGCAAGCGCGAGTTCTGCTGGCGGTCCGACTTCCTCTCCGCTTTCTGCCGGCTCTTCCCCTTCCAGACGATGAAGACAGTGCGGCTGGCGTTGAACGCCACTGAGCGGCTACTGAAGGCGCAGCCGGAGCTGCGCGTGCTGCTGCTGGTGCGCGATCCGCGGGGCACGCTGCAGTCGCGCGGACACCGAACTTGGTGCCCGCACCAGCCCGACTGCGACGACCCGGCACGACTATGCGACGACCTGGTGGCTGACTACTGGGCGGCGCAGAGGCTGGCAAAGCTGTATCCACCGCACCGCCTCAGGTACCTCGCAACGGCCCAGACATCGCCCGCGCGCCCGCTCAGATCGCCCACGCAGGCTCAGTACCCTGTTCCATCTCAGGCACCCCACAATGGCTCATGTACCGCCGCACGCTAATTTACGGTCAACTTAATTTTACGGCGCCCTCGACCGTTGCTGGAACATGCAATGCTCATATGGGCGACGAGGTGATAAACCACCATTTGTTGATACGTTCAGCTTATACGCCGTTCACCATAAGTCGTCACGGCACAGCTTGGAGCACTTTGATAAACGTGACTGCGTGCACGCTACATGTACTTTTCCCCCGCCCCCTCCTCTTCAGATTTAAGGGTGTCGTTATCGGCTCGGAAGAGTTGGAACGGAACTGGCCATTTATATCTAGCAAGGATCAGGATAAGATATTTCACATGGCAATGCCATATCAAGACCGGTCGCGAAAAATCATTCAAACTCCACAATATTCTAGAATTTTGCAGCTACATAGCACCCGTGACAATTTCTGACTTCGCCGCATCTGTCACAAAATGATTGATTGTGTTCCTCCGCGTTAAAAGCAATAAAAAAACACTCATATTAATGGTGAAGCTCAGGCCAGGATCAAATGTTTGCAAAGTTCAGGAACGCCCGGGAAAGGAGATGAGGTACTTAAGAAAGCGTGACGCTTTCGGACTTACCTGATTAAAGGTTAGATGCGGCAACCTAGTCAGTAGTTGTTTGTTTAGAGCACGTGTTAGATGTGCTGATAATTTGATCTCAGAGAGGTGGAAAAGTTAATTTCATTTGGCAAGACATAATTTAATGCGTGACATTGATTTTCATCGTGACGAGATGTGAACTTAACGTACGACTGACCAGACTCGTGCGCACTAAAAATAGCCATCTATTATCTCAGAACAATAGCAGACAAAACGTTGCCTTCAAATAATGCAGTTAAAAGCATGGGGAGTCTGAGAGGCCTTTACCACGCACGCCATTCCACGTGCCCTAACCTAGATCCAAATGCCAGCCATAACGTTCCGGATTGCTCACCTTGACTGACTCCACAATCACGTAACTTGTGGTGGGCTTAGTTAAAATGGTTCAGAAATTAGTCTAAAAATTCGGACAGGATAGCCGTCAAGGCCACGATCAAATCGGACAGGGCAGCTGTCAAAGCCGCGATCAAATTCAGACAGGGCAGCCGTCAAGGCCACGATCAAATTACGCCGCGTGTCACCATCTAAATCTGCGCGATGGTAGATGCTACACATGCGGTAAACACGTGCACGCAATGCACATCGTGTGATGTAGTCTGGATGTCCTAGGCTTAAGGTTCCGTGACATACGTGGTCCCACAGGGTGGTGCGGTATGAGGATTTTTCGCTCCACTTGAACTCGTCTGTTCCTGCACTGCTCCATCACGCGCGCCTGCATTATCACTCCACCATCCAACAGTTCGTCAAAGGACACACTTCCTTCTCTAAAGGAGATGTTTCCAGGTATGTCCTGATCAGAATATTCTCATTTACCTGCCGCTTGCACCGCATATCGCGTCTCTGAGGCCCCGTTTCAAGGCTGTGAAAGCCCCTCGACTGGCTATTATGGTCATTACACCACTGGTGGACGTTTGTACGGCTGCAGACATGCCTGATCGTGTGTTCGCTTTTGGCCGGTTTGAGTTCATCATGATCATTCCAATGGTCCTTACACTACTGGTTGACGTTTGTACGGCAGCAGACATGCTTAATCGTGTGTTCGGCTTTGGCTAGTTTCAGCTTACCGTGGTCATTCCAATGCTGTCTTGTGTGTTGGAAATTATTGCTTGCGTGTTGCTGATTTTTAAGTATTCCGGAATGGCCTGTGACAATCAAGAATGTATTCGAATTCTCTGTTTCAGCACTTTCCGAAAATCCAACGTTGCCCCATTCATGTGGCCCAAGTCACTGACATGGCCAAAGGTCAGAGCCATTCAATCAACATGTTCCAAGGCTATGAAGCTCTGGGGATACAAGACCATGCCAAAAGAAGTCTGGGAATTGGAGAACCGCAAATCAGCTGTTCCCAATCCATCCAATTTCATCGATGTGCTTGAGTTAGGAAATCTGTTGTAGGGGTGCATTGACCAAGATGCATGTCAGTCTTTGGTACAATTCTAAGAAGACCCGATCACACTTTTAGCCTGATGTGCAAGTTTTTCACATTTGCCATCGGCTGAGGTAAATAAGTTCCGTGTATTGCTGAGAAGGCTATGATTCTGGCGTCCAAAATGTGCTATTTGCTGGAGCTGCAACCTTATAAGGCTCGTGCTGATTTGTGAAGATGAGCGGGACCAGTGCGAGTCAACAGCGATGTGATCACTCTGTGGCGGTGATGCGCTCGATCCTGTGTTTTCGCGGCGCGCGCTGACCAGGCATTTACAAGATCACCGCCGAATGATGGCTGTATTTGTCTGTGAGATGCACAGCAACGCAGACGGTGCTTTCTGAAATGTGAGGCCTGCTGCGTCATGAACATAGTTCATAGCTGGCCGAAATTATCTGGATGACGACAAGTGGGGAGTGTGCGTAAGCGGCGCGGGTTCCCGTCCCCTCCCTGTGGTGGTGATGCACCTCATGGCTGTGTTGTCGCGCCACGCGCTGACGTAGCGAAGCGGGAGCACATCGCAGTGGTCATGATCTCCAGGTTGTGGTGGGAAGTGGGGAGTACGGGGCCATTGAGATGCAACGCGCTGAACATGATGATTTTTGTGTTTGCTTTGGTGATTTTGTTTTTGCTTTGGAGTGATTTGGAATGATTTGGAATGATTTTGCTTTGGAGTGGTGCAGAATCTGCATCTGTGCGATGTACTCCCAGGACGTTAATGCCTTTAGACTCCATCGGTTCCTTGCAATAAATATTTTACGCACTATGTGCTGTCCTATGTCGGTGGAAACAATGCATTGTAAACGTTGATGACATGTCGTACGTGCTAAGTTGTGATATTTCACGTCTTATGACAACTAACGTCAAAGCTCAAGTATGCGTTCAAATCCATTTTGCTAATTTTGATCGACCTTTGTAACACCAGAAGATACTGACTTTACGACGATTCGAAGCAAACATTGGTTACATTGGCATGGATCGACGTTTTCAGCCGAGGCTCAAGCTATGTCTTCATGGACACAAGTAAGCAAGATTAAAGGCAGTGTTCCACCTTTGCATAGGGCTGGAACTAAAATAGCCGTCTTGTTAGAAATATATAGCAATATTTTATATATTATAATATAATAATATATAGCAATATACTAAATATATATATATATATATATATGCATATATTATATATCATGATAATATATAGCGATATATATATAAATAACCAAAAGTCCTCGCTGTTTCGACAGCGCCACCTGCACCACAGACCACACAGATCATAACTGGTCATCTACCGCCCAGTTGGGCCCTCATCAATGACCGGTTTTGTACAGATCACAATAGGCCTCTACAGGCCGGAATGGGCCCTCCCCAATGAATAATGCGCCTTCTACAGGTCGGAATGACCACTCTACAGGCTCAGTGTGCTCAAGGGCCCTCTTTTTGGTCAGAATGGATCATAAATAGGTGATAATGGGCCCCTGAAGAGTGAAAAGAAGCTTGTACAGAATTGTATAATCCCTTTACAATTTCGAATCGGTCTTCAACATATATCAGAATGGGCCCTCCCCCGGCCCTCCAAGTTTGGGGTAAGGGCCGGGGTGACGTCTCCCCTCAGCTCTCACGTTAGAGGGAAGAGCACCACATTGCCCCCTCTCACCCAGTTCCTATGCCCTTGGTTGTGTCGTTTCACGAATTTTGCACGGTCGCAGAATGCAGCCCTGTTGCGCGTATGGGCACTAACACTTGAGCGCGTATCTTAACACAAAGGTTTATTCGGCAGTCACTGGAGCAGCGAGCGGCCCGAACGTCGCATGCGCGTGTCGTTGCGTGAGAGAGGGTGCGGATGTTTGCATAGCTTATCTGTTGGCGCTGACGAAAAGCATATAAGACAATGTGAAACAATTCGCCAAATGAAAGGTCTTTACGAGTTGGAACTACTTCTGTTGGCGTGAACAAATAAGTTAAAAGGTAGGAAATGATTGTAGATACAGCTGGCGGAGTTAACGTGACAAATTCCAAGTGAAACCTGAAACTGCATAGGGCACGGTGACATCTAGCGGATGGGGCGGCAGGCGCATTTTCGGTGGCGCCGCCTACAGGTGACGCCGTCTACAGCCCTTGCGACGCTCCGACCACACCGCTGACTCCAACCTAGCGTCAGGTAGCCAAATGTCCATTTCGCCTGTTGGCCGCTAGATGACATGACTCACCCAAGCTAGACCAGATGGATCTGGTGGTCCAGGGCTCATTTGCAAAAGCTGCTCGTGCGCGGCTGCCGGCCCAGTCTTCTTTGCGGCCTTGTGGAAGTCGAATGAACAAGAGTACTTTCCTTCGCCGATGTTCTCCATGGAGACAACTTGACATTCGCATCAGCGCGGACTGTGTCCGCGCGCGTTTGCCTGTGAGCGTGTGTTCACGCCGGCGCGTTACGTTTTCATGCTGTCGAAAAACGAACAAGAACGACGGAAGCGTTTGAAATGTCGCCACATGAACAGCTGTCACAACGGCACCATTTGTGGCGCGCTCAGAGCCCGTGCGGCTTTAGCCGGCCGAGACGAGCGGGCTGTCTGGCCCGCCGGCCCACCCAGGTGGGGTGGCTCGGCGACCGGGGCGATAATGTCCATCACCTCGGCTCTTCGTTCCGGCATGCATGCAGCGACCGGAATGTGAAACATTCGTGCTTGCTTAGCTTGAGGTAGAACATCTTTGCCGCTCGTATTTTTATTTGAGATAGCACGGCGCGCTTTGAGTGGAGATGTTTGCGTATCTCCTCGAACTAGGAGTCCTAGGATCCCAACTGATTGGGCTTCCTTCTCCAAGCTTTTGACTAAGACCATGCTCTGAAACTATTTTCAATGAGGTGGCTATTCCGAATATTTTCTTATATGAGGTGATTCTTATCTTGCGCTCGCTGTCACCCTGAATAAGGCGATTCTGGGCGCAAAATGACCACTGCAGTCGACGCGCTCGAAAACTCCAATGAACAACAACAAAAAGAATAAGGCGATTCATGATATGTCAGCCTAAGCGTCTCAGCAGCCTTCTCCCTGCTTTACATCAATCCAGGCGTTGGGTGTTGATCCCGCAAGTGCTGAAGGAGGCCTGTCTATAGCAGGAGCCCTACATGCCGAGTAGGTTGACTGGCGTGTACCAAAAAGGTGTGCGAAAAGGAGGGTGCTGCGTCATTGGCATCCACCAGTCCTCCAGGCTGAACAATGCGGAGTGGTGTCAGAAAGGAAGTTCGTAATTAGGACGAGAACAGATGAGGGGAAGCGGAGGACCGACGTTCTTGCCGGAGTGATGTCGCGCGGAAGCAATTCTGACAGTCAGTGGGACCCATCGCCTCCTTGAAGGCATGTCAGAAGTGGTGGATGCTGTTTGGCTTGGAGGGCGAACGTCATGACCGCAGATCAAGCTCTTTCAGTCCATGTTCACTTTGATGAGACTCTGTGTGTTTACCTCGCTCAATTTTGTGGTTATCAGTGCAGTGAGAGATGTATCGTAAATACGTTATCAGATGTAAATATAGCAGCGTTTTAACGACCGTATTCGTGACATTTCTGTACTGTGGACGTATCAACGCCAGTGTCCCAAACAGCTGAAATAAATTATTTCCGCTGTCGATATTTTTGTGTCGTTATTGTACTGGGCCAACATTCTGAGTGTCTTCACTGTACGGAGCAGACATTTTGCGGGCTTCAGCTTTGAACTGTTCTCATTTTGTTGTGTCGATATGTTGCGGTGTCAATATTTTTGTTTCAATATTAAGCGTGTTGATACTTTGCGGCTCGATGTTTAGCGGGCGAATTTTTACCCGTCGACAATTAACGCTGCCAATGTTCCGTAATCTCGCAGGAGTAAGCCTCAACAGCGTTTCCTGTCCTTTGCGTTTTCTCCGTTCTACAATTTTTAGGATCCTTTTAAAGAGCTCCTCGTGATCACATGTAAAGTGATTATCATGCCACCCCAGCTTAACATTTCCAGGTCTTTAAACATGTCAGTTGCCATGCCTTAGCGTTTTTTGATGGCAATCCATGCTCGTTGTTCACTGATAGGCAGGCTTCCCTCCACTGACCTCAGTAAAAAAAGCAGTCGCAATTTGCCCTCGCCATAAGGTCCTCGGTTGGGCGCAGCGGGAGGGGTTATGCTCTTGCTCGAGATCTGGCCCTTTGATAGCTTTGACCACCAAGGAATGCACCACAGGGGATCGCAAGATCCCACAGCGACGACTCCGGTGTCAGACGCCCACGGACAGTCTCAGAGACCGAGTTGGTAGGACGTCTTACGGTCAAACATCGTTTCATTGCGCAGCGTTTTGCCCACGATAGGTTATCTTGACGCATGGGATAAGCCATTATTTTAAATGGCAGATTATCAGCTCTGAGAGGGACACATTCACAATGCCCACTCCGAATGGATTCAAGATAAAGAGGAATATCGAAGCGATAGTTGAAGTGCGATGATCACTTTTTAATCGTGGGATGCGAAAAAGCAACAGAAGTGATTGAGTGAAAGAACTGCAGCGTTGCAACACAGGTGACTGCAGGTGACCAACTATGAATCTAGCGACGCAGTCGGTGCGGGTGGCCTGCTGTCGGGTACGCGTCAGCTGATAAGTCCGTTACTCGGCGGGATTCAAACGTCAGGCAAACAAGCGCGGTCCGTTTGGCTGGCGTTTCCATGGGGACGCGCTGGCCAAACGTGACGTCACCATATCGATTCCACATGCCGGCAGCGAACAGTAGCGCCGGTGAGCTTCTTGGCGCGAGGCGATGGAGGACGGACACAGTTGAAAGCCACCTGACGCGGGGCGATGGAGGGCGGACCCAGGTGAGAGCCACCGCACGCTGGACGATGGAGGGCAGACACAGGTGAAAGCCACCTGACGCGGGGTGATAGAGGACGGACACAGGTGAAAGCCACCTGACGCGGGGCGATGGAGGACGGAGGACGGCCCAGGTGAGAGCCGTCAGTACCAGTGACGTCATCATGAATACGCCGAAACACGGGGACATTGCATTAGCCGCGTTGTGCTAATCACAGACGTGATCAACATAATCTCCTTGTTTCGGTCGCGTCACGGTGTCCCAAACAGGGGCTTTTACATTTGCTCTACGTTGCCTGCAAATGGAAGGTGGGCTTCATTTTCATGTGGAATGGGCTTCATTTGGCATTCCAAAGTCTGCCTTTTCAGTCTAAACCGCCTGAACCTCCATCTTCTGAACTCCGCCTTTTTGGACCAAACCTTTAGCACAATAACCTTTCAAACCTCTACCCTTGTAGGTGAGCTCGACAAGTTGATTTTACTCAAAAGTCTTTCCAGTGAAATCGTAAGAACTGGTGTTTTTTTTTGGGGGGGGGGGCTTGGGGCGCTGTGTACATATAAACTCATGTTTCAGGGCGCTTGTAATTGATTGTGTGGTAAAACGCATTTGGTCATACTCTGTAACAGCGATCTCCTTCTGAATCGCGCCTTGTAAATAGACTCACCTGAGTTGGATCACACAATGGGACAGCGTAGACTTGGCTCATTGGCTTTTCAGTCCACCCGTACATACTTAGTGACATATTCCGTCCTTGATAACGGGAGGCGATAGCACCTGGGACAGAGTACCCACTGTATTCCATTATGGCCCGATACTGCATGGGGTGCCAATAACACATGTTGCATCCTACAGTTACCCCTCTGCCGACTATGATCGCAAAGCCTTGTTCGTATATCCTGCAAGCCGCAGCAATACAGGTTGCAGACCTCTGTAAGCTACCTTCTCCGCTTTAACAGCTGCCGGCCTTGGCACGCCCAGCAAATGCGCGCACCGTTCGCATTGGCTGCATCCCCTTTATTGTTTTGGTAATGCACACGTGCCAATACCGTCGCATGTCGTGCACAGCGAATGAACCCATCGTTTGCATCACGTACCAACGTGCTCTGAAGAGGTTCCGGCTTGCCCCGGATGCTACTATTACTGACCGCTCAGCGCACCTCTGCAGGCATCACATCAGACATCATCACAGCAGGCAGGCAAGACATCAGACCGGTGCTGCTAGCGGACGCATCAAAGCTCAGTAAGCCGTTGGGTGCATTCCAGCAATGTTATAACAGCTAACACGGATTTGCTAAGGTTGCAGCATTGTGATGATGTCGGACAACTAAGATGTGGCGCTGCAAACATCTGCTCCTACTTATTCGGAGAGCTGCGTACTTTTCAGTGGCTGTGGCACGTAGAGATGAGACAAAATCTAATGCGCACACAGTCAAACATTCTAGACATGTGTTGGAAAGCGAAATCAGCTTATTCCAACGTACCTCTTTGCTTATTAGCGCCATCATCCCCACTCTTGACTGCCCCAATCTTCAGAACTTCAACTTTCTGAGCCCCAGCCTTTTGGACCTCGACCCTATGAGCCTTGACCCTGAACCTGTTGAGATGTCACGCACATCATACCTTGCATATGTTTTAGCTATGCCTTTGACTATGAGCATAGTATACCAATATATAGCCTACAATTCATAGCTATTTTAACTAAGCATTACATTCCAATCAATTAATGTGACATATCTTGCCGTTATCTATCTTGCCTAATGGTCTCGGCACACGTACGTCCACGAATGTCAGACATCCAGCACGTTACATCGCGTGCATACGATTCATCAAAAGCGATCACGCACGGCTGCAACCGAACAACCGACGGTATTATGGATTATAGGGGCATGACTGCATCACGGGCCTCAAAGATACGTTTGATGCATCAAGGAGGTCTTATGTCAGTAATTTTCTTTCATTCGTTCAGAGCCAAGCTTAGTAACGACATTCGTGTAAGCAACGTAAAAGATAAAAGGTATGCTCACTTACGCCCTGACTCATAAACTTCAATGGGATCATCAGCCAATCTGTCGACGCAAGTGACCCGGTATACCACCGCTGGTCTGAGCTGTTGTGAGCATACGACTGAACCAAACTGATGCACGTGGGATGGAGATAGCCGGGGTGCGGTATTTTGACCTGCGGCCATCGACAATTGTTGGTGATGGCATTTTCTGCAGGGCATTTACCAAATACGAGCTATACGCCAGTCATGCGCCAGCGGCTGAGTTCCGAGTAAACGTATGATCGCGTGCTCCGCGCAAGTGTGGGAGGCAAACACCCAAGTCGATGGTTATTTTTTTAAAGATTGGATTTGGGTTAGGTATAAAGTATGTTGCACGCAAATATTTTGAATAGAATGCCTCCAAATAGTAAATGCTTTTTTACAGCTTGATCAATATCAAAAGGATATGGCGAACATGCCTCAGATTTATCGTGTTCCGATAACGGTATGCTAGAGTTAAACTGCAGATGATATAGCACATGCCACTAACTCCTACCACTTATGCGCACCTGTTGCCTAAAGACTCATGGTATGCCAACACTGTCGTCATTATGTTACCCATCAGCGCTCTGGTCGAAAACATTTACTATACTTAAACAGACATAGGCCAAGTTTACCAATATTTGTTCGTTTATTTCTCTCGCTTCGCTACTCGAAACTACCAGACGCTACTTCGCTAGCGTCTGGTGACGGGGCTGGAGCTGCCCTGAGCTTGACTTTTGTTGACAGAGCAGGGACAGTGCTGAGATCTGTGTCTGGTGACGAGACTGGAGCTTCTCTGAGCTTGACTTTTGGTGAGAGCGCTGGGACAGCCCTGAGCTCTGTGTTTGGTGACAGGGCTGGGGTAGCGCTGAGCTCGGCGCCTGGTGACAGTGCTGTGGCTGGCCTGAGCTCCTCGTCTGGTGATGGGGCTGGGGCAGCGCTGGGCTCGGCGTCTGGTGACAGGGAGGGGGCTGCCCTGAGCTCGGCGCTTAGTTACGGGGCAGAGGCTGCCCTGAGCTCGTTGTCTGGTGACAGGGATGGGGCAGCGCTGAGCTCGTTGTCTGGTGACAGGAATGGGGCAGCGCTGAGCCCGGCGTCTGGTTACAGGGTTGAGGCGGCGTTGAGCTCGGCGTCGGAGCGGCAGCGGCGGGCGCGTCTGCTGCTCGGCTCTCGGCCGCTCTTCCACCGGATCCCGATTCCAGTGGGCCTGGAGCGCACCCTGGAGGACCTGGCGCGTGAGGTGCTCCGTCGACAGCCCGACAACATCTACCAGTTCTGCGCCGACTTCTTCCACCAGCGCCTGGTCGCCAGAGAAGGTGAGGAAGCAGTGAGCAAACGAGGGCGAGTGCATCGAAACTCACCGTCGACCATTGGTCAGCTTGTCCGTCCACCCGTCTATCCATAGCTCCGTCCGTATGACCTGACTTACATCTATTTTTCAGGTGCGATCGCTTTTCTCTCTCTGCCTCTGTCTCTGTCTCTGTCTCTGTCTCTGTCTCTGTCTCTGTCTCTGTCTCTGTCTCTGTCTCTGTCTCTGTCTCTGTCTCTGTCTCTGTCTCTGTCTCTGTCTCTGTCTCTGTCTCTGTCTCTGACTCTGTCTCTGTCTCTGTCTCTGTCTGTCTCTGTCTCTGTCTCGGTTCTCGGTCTCTCTCTCTCCCTTCTCTCCTCTTCTCTCTCTCTCTCTCTCTCTCTCTCTCTCTCTCTCTCTCTCTCTCTCTCTCCTTCTCTCTCTCTCTCTCTCTCTCTCTCTCTCTCTCTCCTCTCTCTCTCTCTCTCTCTCTCTCCTCTCTCTCTCTCTCTCTCTCTCTCTCTCTCTCTCCCTCGCTCTCTCTCTCTCTCTCTCTCTCCTCTCTCTCCCTCTCTCTGCTCTCCTCGTCCTCTCTCTCCTCTTTCTCCTCTCTCTCTCTCTCTCTCCTCTCTCTCTCTCTCTCTCTCTACTCTCTCTCTCTCTCTCTCTCTCTCTCTCTCTCCTCTCTCTCTCTCTCCTCTCTCTCTCTCTCTCTCTCTCTCTCTCTCTCTCTCTCTCTCTCTCTCTCTCTCTCTCTCCCCCTCTCTCTCTCCCACTCTCTCTGTCATCTTTACCACGTACCACGCATTCCCAGCTCACCCTACCGCCTGCATATTTCTCCTTTAACTCGGACCCGCCTGGCGCTGACAGCCGGGCTCGCCGCCCCGCCCGGCACCCCACGCTGCTGCGAGCGCGGCGCGGCTGTGCGGCCGGTCACGCGCCTTCCAGGGCCGAACATAAACGGTCGGTGTCTGAACGGGCCGTCCGGAGTGCGGGCGCCGCGCTGTTTACGTCATTGGCAGCGGGGCGGCGGGCTTGCGTCAAGGAATTGGCCCGGTCGTCTCCCTTCCGACCGCCGCTGCTAAAAATACGGCCGCGAGGCAGACGGGCCGGAGCCGCCGCCGGCAGGCACAATACAGGCACAGGCGGGCTGGCGGCTCGACGAGCTGTCCACGCGCTAAGGCCGGCTCTCTGGGAGAGCGACAGCTGGGAGCGCCACCGGCTGCAGCCACCATGGGCTGCATCTTGTCCTTCTTCACGCGCGGCACCTACGTCCTGCATGAAGGTAGGCTGAGGCGAGTCGCACGCCGCGGGGCCGCCAGAGCGGGCCAGGTGGTGTGGGCTCGGCCGCTGCTGATTGGCTTGGGTCAGGTTATTGATCAGACAGGCTAGCAAAAGCCGGTTTACTTGTGATTACCCGTTAAAGTGACATAAACAACGCTGAATAATTTTGTTTTGTTTAAAAATCCATTTCAGCGTTGCTTGCAACTTTCAATAAGCCTTCAATTCACCTGCGCCAGCTGCAACGCTTTTAATTCGTCTCCCAAGATGAGGATAAAGAACGGTTTTGTCATTTCTGATTCGCTTGAGCCGATGCATTCTGAAATGGCCGGTGAATGTGTTCTAATGAACGTTCAGAACTTACTACCTATTTTTGGCGCTCCACCGAAATGAACATTTACTAATCTTCCAAGATACAGGGCTGTCTGTGCGATGGCTATCATGCAGAGGAATAGCTACTACACATCTAAAGAGCGTACCATAAAGGCTGTGTTTCCGCTACCTCCGCATTTCAACATATCGCCGTCGGTAAGAGGCAAATTTCTTTGCGCGACTGTGCGTATCCGTGCGGGTACAGTCTCACGATCTGATCGGCGTGTTGCTAGAAAGCGTTTGTAAAACTTCGGCCTCCTGTGAGAAGATGAACGGCACTCGATAGCCCCGGTTAACTCAACTTAAGACCTCAATTGACGTGCTTCGCATGATTGATGACGTGTCAGATTACGCTAACTTATTCAACAGCATTTAGGAGTCTTGCAGTGATTTGGAACGTCTAGTATTCCTTATATTGGACACATAGTTATGCAACTGATTCCGTAGCACTTTTTGACGCTCAAGACTCCTCCTTTTGTGTCAGGAAAGATCAAGGGCAAGCAATCTAGTAAAGTAAAAATCAGGTCTGGTGAAGATTAAGTCTCCGAATGTGTATATGTGTATATTTGCCTTGCCCTTTCAGTTTTCTTGATGTTGTTAAGTGGAGTGTTCCATATTTGGATGGGGTTTTGATCTGAAATGGACATTTTGAACATTACTGAATGCAGTTCACAGTACTTCCCTTCTTAAGACCCAAAACTGTCTAGGCTCTGAGCTCCACGCTCGCGAAGATGTGCAGACTTCTACGTGGAGACTATTACAAGGCCATTCATGCATGCATGATGCCATATCAACGTCATTCAAGCCCTGCCACGTCACTGACCATGTGGCGTCCAAGGTCGGGAAGACTGTCATCGCCGAGCCGCTCAGGTCTGCAGTCCGTGAGCGTGATTACCAAGTATAGTGGACGGCAATGGGCTCTGAATTAATGTTAAGAAAGCTGTGCAAGTTTCAATCAAAATTTGGTCGCTTGGTTGTTTGGATTCGAGCCCTTTCCATCAGGCATGATCATTTCAGGGTCATGGGATGAAGGAGAAGGGATAACGGTTGGACAAGACTGCATGCGTTTGGAGGCAACCGCCGAGCCTAAGCCCGCGCAGGGACCCCTTGAAGTAAGGAAAATGGTTAACAGTGGGGCAGGCGTGCATGCGCCTGGGGCCCTTACGCCGAGCTTTAATTTGTGCATGTGTTCTCGGTACCTAGTCGGGTCCCCCTTCCCACGGGGCTCTCGGCCCAATCGGGGCTGACGCATGCAGCCTGCCCCGGACAAGCGGGGTGTCGCGAGGATGCAGGGTGAAGCAAGATTGGGGAAAAGGGGTCGGGTGGTCGATTATGAAAGCATTTTGTGTTATATGACATCAGAAGTTGGAAATAATTGCTAATTGTTGTGGAAATAGCAGGCAGTCGAATGAATCAGGGAAAACGTCATTTGCTCTTGCGTCTTCTTTTTTTGTAACATTCGGGAGAGCGACGCTCCTTTTTTCGGTGCTGTACTCCTTTGCAAACAGAAACGCTCCATTTGTATAATATTGACCCATGGTCTAGAAGTAAGGAAAAATGCCCCGTTGGTGACGAGTGCCGCACAACTCAAAAGTGCTCACGTTTATGTTCGCGACACGCATTCAGCAGCGAAATCTTAGTAACAGCCAACCACCTTCCACGGATTGTGGCATACGCACCGCAGTATCACTCTTGCGAATGTATCAGCGGCCATGCTGTTTTGACCATAGGCAGAAAACAGCATGTAATATAACGGCGATCGCATGACGTTTCTATGACGACACCAATGCCAATATGACTCTGAAGTAGTTTCCCCATAAACCTTTTCGCACTTTTGCGGGCGTGTGACTCAGGAACCAGAGGGTGTTAGGTATTGAAAAGGGATGGCCGTGAACTGCATCAAAAGGTTCTCAGTATGGCTATTTCAATTCAAAACCCCATGCAAAGGTGGAACATCCCCTTTAAGGAGCATAGCTACAGCATCGCGAAACTGCGTTGCCAGGATCAGTTTTTTCCACCTTAAAGTGTTCCAGTGCTTGTAAGTGAGCTTATTTTATCACATCTGATGCGGCCTTCAATATTTTTAAGTGTGGCAATTCCTGTCAGGTGCTTTGTTTCCAAACGTGTCATCTATACGTGCTTTTTATCACTAATAGGAGTTTCAAGTGGTTGTGTTTGAAGACATGTAAGCTGATTATTGACGTCTGACGATGAACTGCTGTGACCTGAGATGGTAACAAACGTCAACTGAACTGAATCAAAGAGAGGGAACTGCAAATTCCTGCATTGGGAGTCGAAAATGACCGTGAAAAAATTAGATTCACCATCAGATTGCATTTCACGCCAACTTGGTGGCTGCAGAGTTTTCATTGACGCAGGGTGCAGTACGAAATTTAAAAAAAAAACATAGGTGTGTTCACACTGGTTAGTTCCTCGTATGCTCAACATTCGCCGGTGTGCCTGCGCATACTACGCATGAATGAGCTGAGTAAGTAGTGCGTGTCGTCTCTGAAGTTGGCAACAACCGCTTCCGGTATGACATGTCTGCCATGAACTTGGCCCATTAAGGATGGCGGTTCATTTTGACGCGATCTGCTCTGCATGTGTTGTAAGTTTGAAACGGTGATGGTTGTAAGTTTGAAAAATAGTTTTCCATGCTTGATGAAAGTGATGAACATCGTGTTTTCGGTACAGTATGTGGTAAAACCGATCACTTGTGACGCATGGAATACTTGCTATTCTACCTGGTACGATTAGACAGCTGTTCTCAAAACTTGGAGTAGGGTGTTGATTTTCAACGCCCAGCGGGCTGTGAGTTAAATGAATACAGTGGAATTACTCCATGTGTATTAACTCACACTCGTATCTCAACAAGAACCAACGCAAATAAAGTACAAGAAGCAAAGTGCATGCATTAAGTACAAGACTCCTACAATCAAGACATTTGGATAATCTCTAGACTGGTTTGTTGAAGTCTTACTGCGCACAACGTTACGCTGATGACTTATTTTACTTTACCTTACCTCTGCCTGAAGTAGGCCACTACGCCCCACGTCACGCGACTGGCCCACTCTGCCAGTTAACTGTCTATGACGAATAACGCTCCTGTGGGCGTTCCTTGAACCAGCAGACGCAAGGTTATCCCCCCCCCCCCCTTCCCCGCTGTACACTCAGCGTTCTGCAATGTGTGGCTGAAAATACACAGAAATTCGCCCAAAGCATTTAAAACGGCAAACAAAAACGGCGGTTCTCGCGTAATGTCTCATTGGCATTCCCCTCCTCGCAGTTTATGAAGGTAAGCAGCTGGCGGTCATTTAAAGCGTCGAGCCTTCCCTCTTGACTACCTCTCTAGGCTAGTGGAGCTACCTCGAATCA